ACCGCTCTTACACTCATGCAAGTGAACAATATAGCCCAACGCTTACTCTCTGCATGTCCACCTCTAGTGCGCCTCGCTCTGACCATCCAAGGTCCAAAAATGTCCAATCCTACGTAGGTGAATGGGGAATTTATGTTTAGGCGCTCAGGTGGTAAGTCTGCCATAACTTGTTCCTCCATTTTACTGCGGAGCTTACGACAGGTGACACAATGGTGTAAGACTGAACTAATCAGCCTTTTCCCTCCTATAATCCAGAACCCAGCCATTCTCAAGGCTCCCTCCGTAAAATAACGCCCTTGGTGTTCTACTTTCTCATGGAAGTGACGCACTAACAGAATGGAGACATGGTTGTGCTTGTGTAGAATCAAGGGGTTCTTTTCTTTGGACCTTAATGGAGAGTTTTTCAATCTTCCTCCAATTTACCCTAAGACTACTTTGCTATCGCAGTAGAATCTTATGGCATCCAGTCCAAGATCTAGCTCATGACGAATCAGGTCAGCAATTTCAACCGCCAATACTGCCGCACAGAGTTCGAGATGCGGAATTGTTGGTTTGTGTTGTGGTGCTAGTTTGGCTTTACCCAAGACAAATCCGACATTACTATTTCCATCACTGTCAATGGCCCTGAGGTAAGCCACTGCACTAATTGCTTTAGTGGAGGCGTCGGAAAAAACAAAATAACTCTACAAGCTTGGCCTCTGAGAGGGAAACTGAAATATAAGTTCGAGGAATATGCAGTTGCTTTAGGTCCTGCAGAGAGTCTCGCCATGTTTCCCATTCTTTCCTTGTTTCTTCGGGAAGTAAAGCATCCCAGTCAGAGGTATAGTTCAAGAGTTCCCACAGTAGGGCTCGGCCTTGTATGGTGACTGGAGAGACCATGCCAAGTGGATCAAAGATGCTGTCCACAGTGGACAGCACACCACGTTTTGTGAATGGTTTATTGACTGATGACACTTCATAGGTGAAAGTGTCGCCTGCTACTTCCCAACACAACCCAAGGGTCCGTTGTATAGGAGGAACCGCACCACTAAGGTCTAAGTCCTTTAAAGTTTTAGCATGTTCCTCTTGAGGAAAGGCTTGCATAACAACGGCGCTGTTTGAAGCAATCTTATGCAAACGAAGGTTCGATTCAGCTAAGGATGCTCGTGTTCTTTTGAGGAGACTGATTGCCTGGTCATCAGTAGGTAGGGACACGAGTCCATCATCCACGTAGTAGTGTCTTTCCACGAACTGTCTAGTATCTGAGCCATGTACTTTTTCACCCTCGCTAGTGGCTTTCCTTAGCCCATAAATGGCAACTGCCGGGGAAGGGCTATTGCCAAACACATGTACCTTCATGCGGTACTCTATGACATCCTTTGTTGGGTCACTGTCTCTGAACCAGAGGAACCTAAGAAAGTTACGATGGTCCTCTCTGACTTTGAAACAATGGAACATTTGTTGATGTCAGCTGTGATGGCTATGGGTTCCTTACGGAATCGAAGAAGGACTCCCAACAAGTTATTGTTCAGATCAGGGCCTGTTAACAAGACTTTGTTGAGGGAGATGCCATGATGTTGGGCACTAGAGTCGAAAACCACCCTGATTTGGTCCGGCTTTTTTGGTTGGTAAACCGCAAAGATCGGCGAGAACCAATACTCCTCTCCCTCCTTTAGTGGTGGTGCAGGTTCAGCATGGTTATTCTCCAGAATTTTCTTCATGAAAGCGACAAACTGTATTTCCATCTCTGGTTTCATTTTAAGGGTACGTTGCAGAGAATGGAATCTATTAAGAGCTTGTTCACGATTATTGGGGAGTACTTGTCTTGGCACTCTGAATGGCAATGGAGCAACCCAACTGTTTTATTCATCCCTGTAAACCTGAGAATCCATGATCCTTAAGAATGCTGTGTCCTCAATGGACGGGGCAAGTTCATTGTCGTTCTCAGTCCTTTGGAACACATCACAACCGAGAATGTTTTCTGAGGTTCTGTACATGCTGTTTTTGCATGCTCCGAAGATAACATTCCTCGGCTCCCCGCTGTTAGGAGCTTCCTCTTTTAGATTCA